TCCTGAAACTGATAAGCAAAGTCTCAGGATACAAAACCAATACGCAAAAATCACAAGCATTACTATATACCAATAACAGACTTAAAGAGAGCCAAATCATGAACGAACTGCCATTCACAATTGCTACAAAGAGAATAAAATACCTAGGAATACAACAAAGAATGTAAAGGAACTCTTCAAGGAGAACTACAAACCACTGCTCAACAAAATAAGAGAGGATATAAACAGATGGAGAATATTCCATGCTCATGGTTAGGAAGAATCAATATCATGAAAATGGCCCATACTGCCCAAAGTAATATATAGATTCAATGCTGTCCCCATCAAGCTACCAATGACATTCTTCACAGAACAGGAAAAAACCACCTTAAACTTCATATGGAAACAAAAGAGAGCCTGCATAGCCAAGTTAATTCTAAGCAAAAAGAACGAAGCTGGAGGCATTACACTGCCTGACTTCAAACTATACTACAAGTTTACAGTAATGAAAACAGCATGGTACTGGTACCAAAACAGAGATATAGACCAATGGAACAGAACAGAGGCCTCGGAGGCAATGCCACACATCTACAACCATCTGATCTTTGACAAACCTGACAAAAACAAGCAATGGGGAAAGGATTCCCTGTTCAATAAATGGTGTTGGGAAAACTGGCTAGCCAAGTGCAGAAAGCAGAAACTGGCCCCCTTCCTGACACCTTACACTAAAATTAACTCCAGATGGATTAAAGACTTAAACATAAGACCTAACACCATATAAACCCTAGAAGAAAACCTAGGCAAAACCATTCAGGACATAGGCACAGGCAAGGACTTCATGACTGAAACACGAAAAGCATTGGTATCAAAAGCCAAAATAGACAAATGGGAACTAATTAAACTCCAGAGCTTCTGCACAGCAAAAGAAACAATCATTAGAGTGAACCGGCAACCAACAGAATGGAAAAACTTTTTGCATTCTACCCATTTGACAAAGGGCTAATATCCAGAATCTACAAAGAACTAAAACAGATTTACAATAAAAACAAACTAATCTATTCAAAAGTAGGTGATAGTTCAGACACTTTTCAAAACAAGACATATATGAGGCCAACAACCATGTGAAAAAATGCTCATCATCACTGGTCATTAGAGAAATGCAAATCAAAACCACACTGAGATACCATCTCACGCCAGTTAGAATGACGATCATTAAAAAATCTGGAGACAACAGATGTTGGAGAGGATGTGGAGAAATAGGAACACTTTTACACTGTTGGTGGGAGTGTAAATTAGTTCAACTATTGTAGAAGACAGTGTGGCGATTCCTCAAGGACCTAGAAATAGAAATTCCATTTGACGCAGCAATCCCATTACTGGGTATATATCCAAAGGATTATAAATTGTTCTTTTGTAAGGACACATGCACACAAATGTTCATTGCAGCCCTGTTTACAATAGCAAAGACTTGGAACTGGACAGTGCCCATTGATGATAGACTGGACAGGGAAAACGTGGCACATACACACCATGGAATACTGTGCAGCCATAAAAAAAACAATGAGTTTGTGTCCTTTGTAGGGACAGGCATGAACCTGGAAACCATCATTCTCAGAAAACTGACACAAGAACAGAAAATCAAACACCACATGTTCTCACTCATAAACAGGTGTTGAACAATGAGAACACATGGACACAGGGAGGGGAGCCTCACACACTGCAGTCTGTTGGGGGAACTAGGGGAGGGACAGTGGGAGATGGGGGAGTTGGGAAGGATAACATGGGGAGAAATGCCAGATATAAGTGATGGGGAGGAAGGCAGCAAACCACAGTGCCGTGTATGTACCTATGCAACAATCTTGCATGTTCTTTACATGTATCCCAAAACCTAAAACACAATAAAATATATATTTAAAAAAAAAATCCCATTTCTGAAGTGGCGAGTGTACGGTAATAAATTGTGTGCTTAAGGACAACATTTGATAATCTATTAAGTATTCTATATGATGCTAATTTTTTCTATCAATATTTTCATATTATAAAATATATATTTTCCATTTCTAGTAATATTTTTATATTTAAAAATATGGGTCAGGAAAGGGGGGATTACAGATAACCCAAAAGAGAAAAGAAAAAACTTGACAAGTTCACCTGTCCAGATGCAACCCCAGTTAACAGTCTTGATATTTTCCTTTAAATCCTTTTTTATAATGTCTATATGTTGGATAGAGTATGTGCCTTTATGTATTTTTTTTAAAGATGAGATGGTGTGTATGTGTGTTTGTGTATCTTCTGTTCTTCACATGTTCTTGTGTGTAATGAACAACTGTACATGTCAGTATATACACTTCCAAAACTTTTTTTTAAAAAAAGACTATATAGTGTTCATTGATGTGAACTAACAACAGTTATCTACCCAGCTTCATCCTGTTAGATGTGGGTCCTGTTTTTTTCAGAAGAAAAGGGGGCAGGTTCTCAGTGGGCTGTGGTGTGGGAGGGCTGAGTGTGCCAGAGGCCGCCTCCACTCCCACTTTCTTTGTGTTGCCTTCAGGGCAAATGGGGCTTGGTTTCTCCAACAAGTAGACCTGTGACCTGTGTGAACACTTGGAAGACTTGCTGTATTGCCCAGGCATATCAATGTACTTTAGTGCTCTACTAGAGATTTATAGGTAGAAAAACAATTAGACCTTACAGTATTTTTTCCTAGATTCCCTAAAGTACTATAGGGTAATTTTGACTCCTGTGATATGAACTATGCTTCACCTAAAATAGTTTTTGCAAATGTGGATATATAAGTCCTTTATTAAATCTGTAGGAAGTATCTATGCCACCTGTTTCCCGCCTTCAGTATTAAAACCTCCTCAATGGCATTGACATTGAACTGCTTTCCACTTTGTCACATGCTCCTCTCATAGTTCCTGTCTGGGTCCTGAACCCTGGGGACTTGGCTGTTATAGATCCACCCTAACTACGCTGGACCTCAGTGCTCTCTGAGACTTAGTTTCCTCATCTTACAAGGAGATCATAATAGCCCTTGCCTATGTAGAATTACAGAGATCTAATGAAATAATTAATATACCCAAAAGCATGCTGTAAATGCCAAAGCACATATAAGCTTTAGGAGAAACAAAGGGACCCATGGAAATTTCAGAGTCCTTTCCTCACAGCATCAGTGCCTCTTCTTCCACAGCTGATGTCTTAGTCGAGGCACGGCCATGTCCTGAGCACATTACTCCGCACAGCCTTCTGTTTGTAGTTCGAAATGCAGTGTGCTACATCTTCCTTACAGTCTGTATGCCAGCACGTGAAATAACGGGTAACTGCAGTGTTGACTAAATATTGCTTATGGAAATGTTGAGGTGGAGAGTTAGATAGCTCAGTCAAGGTAGGAAAATTAGTGTTGGAATCTGTCTTTTTGTGTATCAGAAATAGAAATAAGACAGGGTGAGAAGTAATATGCCAAAACACTGTAATAGCTCACACACAGTACATAGTGTGTGCCAGGCACTCCTGCAGGTGCCCGACATCTTCCTCTATGACCCTGTCAAATAGTGCCATTATCATCATCATCCGTACCTTAGAAGCTTGGACACTTAGCACAGAGAGGCCGGCAGAGCTGCCCGGTGTCACCACAGAAGTGAAGACCCAGGCTGCTTACCCAGGGCACAGTTCTGCTGCTTACGGTACTTTTTAAGCAGTTCTTTGATTATTCAGATGATAGTACTGTAGGAAAATTAAGACAAAAATACTGAAAAATGAAAATCTTCTTTTAGTGTTTCGCACATGTATTATTAAAGCCAGGTCACTCCTGGAAGCATGTAAGAATACCGGATATTTTTGATCATCGAAATGCTGCATGTTACTATGAGCTTGACACTGAAGTCAGGAAGAGCAGTTGCAGAAACTACTTAGCAAAAAGCGGAAGTGTGTGGGTTTGAAAGAGCAAGGACAAGTCGTCTTCAGACGGTGGAGTGTAGTATTCATCATTTCTCAGAACGCGTCTTTGAACACATTTTCAATTTGAAGTAAAAGGTCTCAGCCTCCCTCTCAGCATACCTCCCACCTTAGTCTGCTTTTAAATCTTAGGAATATTTTGTTGTTCTCCAAGGAACTTAAATATGTTAACATTCTTACCTTTCCACAGAGAGTCACTTACAAGAAGGGAATTTCTAGGCTCAAAGTTCTTTCTTGAAATAAGTAATATAGCCTCATCCCTTGTGCAACCAAGGTTGAAAAAGACTATCTCCTTTTTTCAAATTATCAAGTCTTAAGAACTACAGTTGTTTACAGGGCTTGCCATATCCGTGTAACAATTTTGGTTCTTTTACCAATTATATGCTATGTTAAGATATGGCAAGTATCAGGAAAGCAAGGCGTGGCAATGATTAGAAACCAATGGCCAAGTTAGGAGGGGCAGTTGCTCCCCCAACTTTGTTGTGGCTGTGTAGCAGTGAGCGACAAGAAGCTGTGTGTCAGGTGAGGAGCGAGGGATTGAGGCCTGTCAGGCGCCTGTGAGTGCCCAGCTGTGTGCCAGGTCAGGAAGTGCCATCGTGAACCAGACCGGCTTCCTCTCAGCCCCTGTGGAACTCACAGTCTGGTGGGGAAGCAGCAGTCACTGTGACAGGCGATACACTAAGATGGGTGCTGGTGGTGGTAGGCATTTGGGGATCCCTGCAGAAATGTGGGGATGGACTTAGAGGAGGATCCAGCTTCCTGTTCCTGGGATGCCTACAGCACTAAAAGTTGTCAGGTGAAAAATAACATTTGGTACTGTTGATTTAGCTAAATGACTTATGTCATTGTAGTCGACTTAGAAATGATAACATGCTCCTCGACTTCAGCTTGAAAACCCAACCAGCAGCTTATAATCCCTATTTTTTTAACTTTTACTTATTTTTGCTAAGGAATCTTTTTCTTCATTTTACAACTTTTTTGTCCCATTACCTTATTTTCATTATGTTACTTTATATGACCATGAGTTCTAAAATAATAAAAAATGAAATATTTTTGTTCTTTGTTAGAATTTCTCTGCAAAGAGTCTCCAAAAATTCATATTCACATTGATCGTATCGACAAAAAAGATGTCCCGGAAGAACAAGAACATATGAGGAGATGGCTGCATGAACGTTTCGAAATCAAAGACAAGTGAGTAACAGCGGCTCCAGCCCTTCAGAAACTTTGGTTCAACTAGATTTCAGTTTAGTCAACCATTTGAAACCAATAAGAATGCGTTTTATAAATTCAAGTCAAATCATAGGCATATCTGATCCTGTTTTAAACTTTACTTACGCAAATCACTGTAAAAGGACTCATGACAGTGGGCCCATCTGCTTTCATTGATAGTGTTTCTTGGACAATACTATGTGATAACATATAAAATTAAATTAAAAACAACAACACACACAAAGAAGCTCTCCAGTATCAGATGCCTGGATCTACCTCTCAAGTCAGATAAAGTGGTGGTACCGTGTGAGGACCATCTGCTGGGCCAGGGTGGGGCAGAGGACTGTGCTGATGTACGGGTGGACATGATGCTGTTAGATTTATTGCAGAAAGAAGGAGCAGTTGACAGTGTTATATCTAAAATGTCTTCTGTGATTAATTATATTCCACAATTGTAGCCAATTGTTTTATTCTCTTAACATATTTTCTTCTCAAGAAAATATCATTGTTCTTCTTTTCCTTGTTTTACAGTAAAATGTTTTAAATTAACCTTCCTGGGTGAACCTTACTGGGTGAGAATTATTAAAAGTATAATAGGTTAACCATGAAATTTTAAGTTTCTATTTTCATTGACTCTCAACTGTACATAATTGTTATTAAGCCAGCCATTCGGGACCTCTTTGTCCATGGAAGAAATTTAAAAGTAAGATCGACATGTATCGACATGAAAATGTGTTTTCAGAAAAAAGACTAATGTATTTAACGTCCTACTTATTTTATAAGTATTTATAAGTATTTAGAGTGAGTCTGAACATTTTAATACAACGACTATCGCTAGGGAATGTGATTTATAAAGCAATAGAAGCATGTTCCCTTTCTGTATGTTTGTGTTTTAGATGATTATGTTGGGTATGTTCTGCTGCTATAACTTTACAGATTTTATGTAAGATGGGAAAATGAATTGACTATGTTGTTTTCCTTCTTTTATCTGCCTTTATAATTCCATGGGAAGAAAGGCTTCTTTGAGACACTCCAGGTGCAGTAAGCAGTCCGTATCCATGGATTCCACATTCATGGATTCAACCAAGCACAGGTCAAAAATATTCAGAAAAGAAGGGAGCTGGGTGTGGTGGCTCATGCCTGTAATCCCAGCACTTTGGGAGGCTAAGGTGGGCAAACTGCTTGAGTCCAGAAGCTCGAGACCAGCCTGGGCAACAGGGCAAAACCCTGTCTTTACAGAAAATACAAAAATTAGCCAAGTGGGCACCTGTAGTCCCAGCTACTCAGGAGGCCGAGGTGGGAGGACCACTTGAGCCTGGGAGGTTGAGACTGCAGTGCGTCATCATTGTGCCACACCCCAGCCTGGGCAACAGAGCGAGACCCTGTCTCAAAAAAGAGGACTTGGGAGGATGCGCATGTGTTTACTCAAATACTATGCCATTTTATTCATGTATCAGGGACTTAAGCATCCTTTGATCTTGGTATCTGCTGGGTATCCTTGGACCGGCCGCCCATAGATACAGACAGACAGCTGAGAACTGCTGGTTCTGTCTTTGACTTCTGGTGGAATAGGAGCTCTATGTAAAAAGGAGGAGAAGCTGCAACAGGTTGTTAGCCATTTGTGGGTTAGGTCACTGCAAAACTTTATAGATCAAAAGTTTAAAAAACAAAGAGCATCCTCATAAAATGGCTGTTGAAATATTATATATATAATTCATATATGCTAATCATAGAGCATATTAAAGATATTTTGAAAGACTAGAAACTTCTATTAAACCAAGTTTCTGGATGTTTTCTTATCCATCGTTATTTTCCAAGGACCTGCGTAACTTTTCCAGCATGTAATAGCTACCTAATTGATATTTTTTTAATTGAAATACTGAAGTGACTAAAATATAAACTTTTTTCATTCTGGCCATAGGATGCTTATAGAATTTTATGAGTCACCAGATCCAGAAAGACGAAACAGATTTCCTGGGAAAAGTGTTCATTCCAAATTAAGTATCAAGAAGACTTTACCGTCAATGTTGATCTTAAGTGGTTTGACTACAGGCATGCTTATGACCGAGGCTGGAAGGAAGCTGTATGTGAACACGTGGATATATGGAACCCTACTTGGCTGCCTGTGGGTTACTATTAAACCATAAACAAGTAGCTGTCTTCAGACAGTGGGATGTGCTGCATTGCCTATTTTTGGCAGCTGCACGTGACATCAAATTGTTTCCTGAATTTAATAAGGAGTGTAAATAAAGCCTTGTTGGTTGAACCTCGTAAAATAGAATTTGTGACGAAAGCTGATATGCAATGGTTTTGAGCAAACAAACATGGTGATACAACTTTAGCACTAGGGCTGCTGGAAGGGTAAAAGCTAAATGGAGTTCCTCCTGCTCTTTCAATTTCCCATGCACTAATGACAACTTCAGAAGCCTAGGAGGATTGTATATTTTGTAAGTCAGATGGCTGCATTTTTGAGCATTAATTAGCAGCATATTTCACTGTTATTTTCAATTTATTACCATTTGACAGCTCCAAACTCTTATACTAAAGTACTTAGTATCTTGCAGCTAGGTAATATTTCATGTTTTGCTTAATTTCTACAAGTCAGTGAAAGAAACTGTATTTAAGAAGTGTCAGCTGGGTGCAGTGCCTCATGCCTGTAATCTCAGGGCTTTGGGAGGCCAAGTCGGGCAGATCACCTGAGGTCGGGAGTTCAAGACCAGCCTGACCAACATGTAGAAACCCTGTCTCTACTAAAAATACAAAATCAGCTGGGCTTTGTGGCACATGCCTATAATCCCAGCTACTTGGAAAGCTGAGACAGGAGAATTGCTTGAACTTGGGAGACGGAGGTTGCGGTGAGCCAAGATCGTGCCATTGCACTCCAGCCTAGGCAACAAGAGTGAAACTCTGTCTCAAAAAAAAAAAAAAAGAGGTGTCAAGATGTTAAACGGAAAGGGTAAAAAATATTCATGGGGAAAAAGCTCTGTTTAGCACATGATTTTATTGTATTGCATTATTAGCTGATTTTACTCATATTTGCAAAATAATAAAATTTCTAATATTTATTGAAATTGCTTAATTTGCACACCCTGTACACACAAAAATGGTATAAAATATGAGAATGATGTTTAAAATTGTGACTGATTCATTGTAGCAGAACTTTAAATTTCCCAGCTTTCTGAAGATTTAATCTACGCTGTTAGTACTTCCCTATGTCTGTGCCATAAGTGCTTGAAAACATTAAGGTTTTGGGTTTTCTTAAGTATCAAAATAGTCAGTGTGAACCTTGGTTGGACCCCAAGTTCACAAGATATTTAAGGTGATGGGAGCCTGCAGACATTCTGCCTAGATTTACTAGCATGTGCCTTTTGCCTATGTCTCTTTGATTTAACAGAATATGAATTCAGAAGTCACGTTTCTGTAGCGTGCTGGATTCCCACTGGGCTCTGGTCCTTGACCCATGGATCCCATTAGTGGTGCTGCTCAGCGGCTTGCACGCACACTTGCTCGGAGGAAATGCAGAGCCAGCCCGTGCTGCTGCTGTCAGAGGGCAACTCACTAAGCCTTTGCCAGCGGGCTTCACCAGCCACTGCAGAGGCATTTTGCATTTGTCTGTGTCAAGAAATTCACCTTGTCAAACCAGTGAAATACAGACTGGATTCATCAGGACTGAGCGAATTTGATCATTTCCCATTAGTTTTAATGGAGCTACACATTAATATATATCACCTTAGAGCAAGAGCTGTGTTCCAGGAACCAAATCACGAATTTCAGCATGGAACCATGGGAAGAAGACCTTTCAGTGTGAACTACTCTATTTTTATGTTATAATTTAAACTTGGATTTCTCATAGTCCTTTAAGTTAACATTTCTGCTTACTGCCACTGGATTTTGTTGCAAAAATATATCAGTGACCCACATGAAACGTACCAACTGGATCATGATAAACAAAATGAAAAAATGATTAAGGGAAAATTAAGTGACTGTGTTACACTGCTTCTCCCAAGCCAGAGAATAAACTGTTTGAAGCAACGTCTTTGAAGAGTCATGTGGTGTGAATTGGTGTGCATACATTAGAATGTATATATATTCACACATCCATGTACACTCAGGATATAGCTGTCCTAATCATCAATGGGGGTATGGATAAAATTTAAAAAAGGTTTCCTCATACTGAATTGTAATTTTCTCTTACTTGTAAGGTAAAATTTAGATCAATTCCATGTCATTGTTAAGTACGGGAATTCAGCATATTTTGAATATGATGGATATGCTCTAAATTTGAATTTCGAAAGGCAATACTATTGGAATTATGTGGATTCTAACTCATTTTAACAAGGCAGCCTAAGCTGCATAAAATCACTTGAATGTTACGTTTCTTAAAACTATACTAATCTTCTCACAAAAGGTTATAAAATATAGTAGTTGAAAAAAATTCTGTATCAAAATGTTTGGAAAGTCAGAAGCTTCTCCTTAACCTGTATTCATATGGACGTGAGTTATTTTCTAATATTAAGAGCCCTATACCTGTAAATCTTTTCACATATCATTTAAACTTTTGTTTGTGTTGTTAGTGATTTACAGCTTAGTTGTTTTTCTTTATAAGAATGTCATCGATGTGCATGCTTTTATGTTTTTCAGAAAAGGATGTGTTTGGATGAAAGTAAAAAAAAAATAATAAAATCTTTCACTGTCTCATGGCTGTGCTGTTTAACATTTTTTGACCCTAAAATTCACCAACAGTCTTCTAATACATAAAGTAGGCTAATGACTGGCCCTCCATTCTTAGCAATATTTTCCCCTAAACATTGAGCAAAGTTTTAAAAGAATACACTAAAATAGTCAAAACTCTCAAGCAGTATATTACTTTGGTTATATAAACCCATCCGTAATTTATAAGATGCATGACAGATGTTAATTTTCTTGGCAATTCTGTAATCATTAAATGTCTCAGTGAAACATGTCAAATGCCTGCAATTAACTATGCTGGTGAATAAATATGCCAATCCCGCCAATTCTTACACCATACATACTGATAGTTTTTCATGTGTTTCATTTCCATGTGATTTTTAAAATTTAGAGTGGCAACAATCTTAATATGGGTTACATAAGCTTTATTTTTTGCTTTGTTCGTAGTTCTTTGAATAGGTCTGTGTCAATCAAGTGATCTAACTAGACTGATCATAGAAGGAAATAAGGCCAAGTTCGAGACCAGCCTGGGCAACATAGCAAGAACCTGTCTATAAAAAAATTTTAAAAATTAGCCAGGCTTGGTGGTGTGCACCTGTTTTCCCAGCTACTCGGGAGGGTGAGGTGGGAGGACTGCTTCAGCCCGGCAGGTTGAGATTGCAGTGAGCCATGGTCATACCACTACACTACAGCCTAGGTAACAGCACGAGACCGCATCTCTTAAAAAATAAAAAGGAAATATAGAAAGATAAAATTTGCTCATTATAGACACAGAGTAACTCCCAGATACATGTGACAATGAATTTGAAAAGAGAGAAGTGTCTATCAAAGTAGTATTTCATGTGTATAATTTCAAGTGCATACTAAAATAACTTTTAACCTTAATTTGTTTTTAAAGTATTTAGATTGAAGATTGAGTTAAATATTTTCTTGGCAGATATTCCATATCTGGTGGAAAGCTACAATGTCTTTGTAGTTTTGCATAGCTTTCTTTATAAGCAAGATTTTTTTCTCCTCTTTTTGGGCCAGTTTTCATTAGGAGTAACTGGTACTTTCTGATTAAAGATTAGGTAACTTGAAATTATGTTATAACTTAGTATAATTGACATACAGAAACTATGTAACATCCAGGCATTAGAATGAAAATTAGTACTTTGGTGAAACTATAATTTCCAACATTCAGATATTTGATATGTAGGTCAAATATTCATGTAATTAACTGAATTTAAAACATTTAATTCAACTATTACAGAGTGCTTGTCCATACAATCACTAATTTACTCAGTTTAGAGTAGCTACAACTATTCAATATTACCAAGATAAGACATCTTTTTCAATTTGTTTATGAAAAGTAAATCTATTCTTGTAGCAACTGGGGAGTCATACGTGAGATCAAAGGCATATTCCTTGTTATTACGTATACTGTAATAATACCTGGTTATCCTAAGCAGAAAAAAAGTTATTTTTAAGGAAACCACTTCAAATAGAAAGCTAAAGTACTTCTAATGTAGTGAGGGAAATCAAGTATGTGGAACAAACTCCCAGGAAAACATTTATTGATACTGATGAAACACATCAGTTTTTCCATTCGAATTATTATTGATTTTATATGTGAATATAAGATATGTTCTGCAATTTTATAATGTTCATTTTTTTTTTAAAGGTGCTATTGATATTCTGTCTCCAGCAGGCGAGAATATTTGACTAACTCTTTATGTCTCTTTATGGTATTACCAGAATTCTGACTTATGTTATTGGGATTGTTGGTGCCTCATTAATTCAGCAATAAAGGAAAATATGGATCTTAAAAATTGGTGATAAAAAGTTATTTCATACGTATGTGATAAAGTTTACATGTTGTAATATATATGTTGTATTGCCAAATACAGCTATTAAATACATAATATTTTAAAGGTTCACTTTGTTGTGACAGTAGAGAAGCAGTGCCGTAAGCCTCTTGCAGGCATCATCTCATCTCACTGCCATCACAAACCCCATGCCACAGCATAGCTTGGCCACTGAAAGTAATGCGTCTGCAGGCATACTGCCAGGTTTGGGATACTGTTTCTACCAATAGATAGCTGACCAACATAAACCCCAGACTCTAAAATAGTTGGTGCTGTTGTCTCTACATGCATAACTTTAAATTTCCTGCCGTGTCTGGTGGCTCACGCCTGTAACCCCAGCAGTTTGGGAGGCCAAGGCCAGTGGATCACTTGAGGTCAGGAGTTTGAAACCAGCCTGGCCAACATGGTGAAACCCCATCTCTACTAAAAATACAAAAATTATCTTGGCGTGGTGGCAGGCACCTGTAATTCCAGCTACTTGGGAGGCTGAGGCAGGAAAATCACTTGAACCTAGGAGGCAGAGGTTGCAGTGAGCCAAGATTGTGCCATTGCACTCCACATTGGGCAACAAAAGTGAAACTCCATCTCAAAAAAAAAAAAAATTCCTATTTCAGCTTTCCCTTACCTGTAAAGAGGGGAGAATATGCATTTACTTTGTAGAGTTCAGGGAAATGACTCTCACTAATTTGAGATTCTAGGTATAAAAATACATTCTTACATAATTTCAACA